AATTTAAAAAATCAATAAATAACAAGCAGTATGCAACAATTTAGTAATTCGATTATATAGTATTCATAAATATTGACCCCTACAAATTATTGTTCAATCTAACACATATTGAACGACAAGTCGATATAGTAATTATCGTGACAGGTCTCTTATTATCATTCTTTATTTTTAGATTTTGATTAGTCAGTCTGAGGGGGAAACTACAGTTAAGATCATTACTGACATAAACTTTCATTTAAATCGTCACCTAATACCTTAAAAAGTAAAGCACACTTTCAGTGACTTGTATATGGTGTTGTCAGACTACAGTAGAAAAAAACCCTTTCAGATCCTCTCTTCAGCGTGACTCTGTCAGTGACAGTGAGAGTCCACATGGTGAGGTTTCACTGCGTTGGGGGGCAACAGCAGAAGCGGTCGGCTGATGTGGTTCCTGTAGTGACTTCACAGTTTCCTCTCGTGTGGTGACTGTCTCCACTGTGATGAGACGGGGGTGTACAACGGAATATCACACTCCTATAACATCTGTATAAAAGACACACCATGCCTCATCTATACACCAATCCACTCTATTCACGCCCAGATCATAGATGCATATCATCATGAACATGAGATACAGCCTGGCACCTGCTGCCCTGTTCTGCCTCACCACATGGATTACTTCACTTCATATGAGTAAGTTTACCAAACATATTTTCTTGTTGTTGTTGTTTTTTTTGTTTTTGTTTTTTTGTTTTATGTAAATATGTTTTTGTAATTCTTTATTCTTATGTTTTAGCCAGTGGTCATGAAACTAACTGCTGCCTCGAAAATCGCAAAACCAAAGTCCGCCTAGGCAACATCGTAGGCTACAAAGTTCAAATGCAAGGCTTCTGCCCCATCAACTCTGTGGCGTAAGTATCTCCAGAAAGCATTTTATAATTTTTTTATTCAAACTAAACAATTATAACCAACTAATAATGTGTTTTGCTTTAGGTTTTTGACCAAAGAGGACAAATGGATATGTTGGGACCCTCTGGAACCATATGCACAAAAGACCATGCAGAGAGTGGAAGAGCTCAGACGTGCGCAACAACAGAAAGAAGTTACCACAATTCCAGATACAGCTAAAAACATGACCATTAGCCAAACAATGGCTCCACTCAGCAGCATTAATTCAACCCAAATTCAAACTCATGTCCATAAGGTGATGGTGAGGACAGTGGACAGCAATGGAAAAAAAAAAAACTCAAGGAGAAGAGGAAAGAAAAGAAAGATATCAAAACAGAGGAATAATAAAAGAATGTGAATATTGTCAATTAGCAGTAGTTTTCATTATAAGCTCCTATTTGCAGTATTAATTTGTTATTGTTTTGACTATTTTCTCTATAATGTATTAATGTATTTGAATGTCTTTAAATGTTTGTTTGATGAGACACTTTTAATAAATTAATTGTAACACTCTACTTCTTGTGTGGTGTGTATTTGTAGCTCCGTACCATGATTAATTAGAAAATACAACCTCACGCATATTGTAATAAAGGTAATAGGGACTCTCTTCTCTCCCTCCTAAAACTACAGACTCACTTAGACATGTTCAGCAGGACTCTGAAACTGTGCTTAAAATTGTCCCAGAGCTGCTCCCATCATGTTTGAAATGTGCCTTGTGTCTGTTTTATATCTTATGTAAATGTTTACTTTTGTATACAAATTTTACATTCCTTTCTGGACTCTAAACAACTCTGATAAATGCACTTCATCTGGTCTAATCCAATGTAATGGCTACATCCATATTAAATAAATCAAAAGTATACAAAGAGGAGTTTGTCTCTTTACCACTCAGAACAATAAACTTTTGTTATTGTCTTAAAGGTGTACAATGTAACTTCTATGGTGTAGGCTTGCTTAGAATATTCCACAGTATGATATTAAACTCCATCTAGCATTTATTCAGGTACAGGTCTTTTTATTGTTTAAAACGTATTTGTACTTTTACTGGTGGGCTCACCCTTTCACTGATCTCACCTGTAACGTTTGTTCTTGAGGTGTCATATTTAACAGTTACATACTGCATTTTTAAGAATAACAAGGGAGATGTCAATGTTTAAGTCTGTTAAACATAAAGGTCAGACACATATGCGTTTAGACCGAATATATACTTCATTGTTCCATAAAGATTTTGTGGTTTTAGTGGAATACAATTTTGAGTTAACCTGAACTTTGTCTGGGCACTGCTATAGCCACTTCCTGGGTGTTGTTAGTTCAAAGAAATATGCAGTGGTTTATTTTAAGAGTCCCCTGCTCAGTGTTGATTCTTAGAAACATACATGAGCATAAATGCACCATAAACTTTTTGCAAACCGCAAGATACAGTTGACAACACTGTTTTCATATTTGGCCAGTGAAGAATTATAAATTCAATTTTACATACCCATGGGTTTCAGAATGATAAAAAGATGATAATGGACTGCACAGCAATGTTGCAATTGGCGATTTAAAATTAAATATTATATGTTTGGAGTGGTGAAAACTTGTGAAAACATTGCCTTTAATAGAGAGCAGAAACCTATGAACAGAATAACAAGATGTTGTAGAAGATGTTTAACATATAATGGTACTGTTTCTGTCATTTTAGTGAGTTTGAAACAGTGGCTATGATCTCTGTTGGTAACTGTGGTGGTCTGAAAGGTCCTCACACTTAAACCTCTTAAATTCCATTCAGTTTCAGACTGAGTCCACCAATCTGTGAAAACACCTCAGTTTTTCCTGAGCTCCACACAGAGGAATATTCACACAACCCACAATACTGGTGAGTGGGTACAGTGCAACTAAACTGCAAAGTGCAAGTTAATGTAGGCAAATGTTGAAAGCTTGGCTATAAAGCATAAATCCTCTCCACTCAGTACTCAGGTCAGTTTATTGTATGATATCATGTTTAATTACGCACACTTTAAATGAAGCACGCAACAGCTCTAATGGAGCGCTGTCAATACATGAAGGGGGGAAAACCCATTGCATTGTGGTTCACATAATACCTCAAACTACTCATCGAGTACCACATGTCCCCCAACTGCTGCTACTTCACCTTCCTCTGCAGCAACAGTCGTGGAAATACATGTGTGTGTGTGCATGTGTGTGTGTGTGTGTGTGTGTGTGTGTGTGTGTGTGTGTGCATGTATGTGTGTGTGCATGTGTGTGCATGTTTAATGAAGGTACCAAAACTTCCACCTGGACAATATGATTCATGATGATCTTAAAGGTGCATTGTGTAACCTTTCTTTTGGAGGGTTCGTCACCTGCTTTTTTCTGTGGATATGTTATTGCTCTGGAATGTTTCACAGTTCTACCTTACATTTATTAAATTACTGGTGATTTTATTGTTCAAAAAGAGACATTCTGATTGAGAGCGGGGATGCCTCTCCGCTGATCTAAACTGTAACTTGGTCTGGTTTGGTCTCCATGAAGATAGAAAGGTTTAATACCATACTGTTAAACATCCCAGACACCACAATAACATTTCCATGGAGAAAAGCAATTGGTGGATCCTCCACCAGAAAAGTTACACAATACACCTTTAAGATGTCCATGCTGGCCACGACAACATATCTACATACATTGTTGAACCTCAAAGTTACTTTTTATACATAACTGAAATTATATTGTCTGTAAAGTACTATCTACAAAAGAGAATGAAAATGTTGCCTTCTTAATTATTCCTTACACCATCAAGGGCACATATTTCTTTGAAGGGAAAATTGTTGCATCTGTTTGTCTGTAATTATGTATATTATTGTATATAATATATGTATAATATTACATCCACAATTACAAATTACTCACACATCTTCTCGCACCTTACTTAGTGGTACTGAATGAAGAATAAGGAGAAAGAGTAACACACCACATAAATCTTTCTTGAAGTGCAGATGCAGGAGCAAAGCATGAAAAATTCAAACAAAGCATAGCATTGAAATCTAAAATTGTTTTCTAATTTAAAATGGCTTCTGCAACCTGAAAATGCTTTGTGTGAATTATCAAACTAAAGCAACCTTTTGAATCTAGAAAAATCATTATACAAGACTAGTCTTATTTCACCTTTTTCTTTAAGTACATAAAACAACTATTTGTAGTGCAACTTTGTTTTAATTTTTCAACTGTGTGTGTGTGTGTCATAAGATCATAAAAGCAACTTACATTTTTGTACACATTTTAAACCAGGTCAAGTATTCAAATAATACATAACATGTGTTTTAGTTGCTTGAATAAAGGACATCATGCACAAAACTGCAGAAACAAGCTTTCCTGTTCTACATGCGCCAGAGAACATCCAAAAGTTCTCCACATCTATAAATCACAAAATCAACCCAAATGGGAAAGTTCTGGAAGAAACCAAGAAGCTGATTTGATTCCCAGTGCAGCAGTATACTCAAGTTATGTTATGACTACCACAAATGGGGCCGGGAATACCAGCACTTCATTTGATAGAATGAAAACTATGGACATGCAACGAGACCTATCAGACCTGTCTCTTCAGGAACTGTGGAAAGGCAACTTATGAAGTTACCTTGGACTAACTGGATTTACAATAGGAAATGGAAATGCCAGCATACGAGAGAAAGTGGAAGAAAATTAAACAGTGGCAGCTAAAAAGACAGTGATGTAACATCTTGTGAAAGAATGTTTTTTTTTTTTTTTTTTTTTTTTTTTTTTTTAAATAGGTGGCCTATGTGGCCTGATTATTCTTTGTGTGGAAGCTGTAGGGGGTTGAGGCCATACAGTTTTTTGACCGTGTGATCTGGATATATTGTGTAATCTTCAGTTATGGAATCTGCATCTACAATTAAACCTCATAATCAATATTCTGTAAGTTTGGACATTGAATCTTTCAGTTTTCATCTTAGACACATGAGTCAAGCTAAAGCCACACAGCCCTCACAGCTACAGTGGCAGACTGGAGTTAAACTGCCACTACAAGTACATAATATAGAAACTGAACAAAAATGACAAATGATAATGTGCAATTTTTTATTTAATTACAGAAATACAAAGGGCATAGGAAAATAACAAACATGGTCAAAGCTTGTAATAGTCTCGCAGACGAGAGCCTTTTCTGTATTTGACTGTTTTGTTGTCCAGGTGTTTCATGGTGGTTTTTGTCCAATCACTTTTTGGATTTGCACATATTCTTTTGTCTTTCAGTGTGACGAATCTGTTGGAAATATGGGTATAATATTAAGCATGTTATATTCAATGTACAGCTAAATACAACAAATATTTATACTTACACAACTACATGCAGAGGACAAACAGTGCGAGTCTGTTTGTAATACCTCTTCAACCTGTTTGGGTGAGGCTGGGTTTTGGAAATGTAGCGACAGCACTTCTGCATTCTACCTATATTAGACAAAGACAGTATTAAATCACTGAAACATAAATCTGTTCATCTGGAAAACTAACAAGGACTGTACCAATAGCCAAAAGAAATCTTACTTTGTGCCGTGATGACAACAACAAAAGTGGCTACAAATATAAGCAAAACAATCATGCGCCTTGCCATGGTGTGACTGTAACTGCTGCACGTACAGCTGTGCACATTTATACCAAGTTAGCTCAGCACCCACTCGTTCACATGGATGGAAAGAAGAATTCAAGTTCCTCCTCTGACATGTCACCAACAGCCTGCAGCTCTGCACACAACTCTGCACACAGATCTGTGACACACGGGGGTCTGAGGCTGACAAGTTCCACCAACTCAGGAAGTGGCTATTTCAACAATGATTACATTATAGTGTAATGCAATGGAAAACAAAAAGTAAATGCAACCAAGCAGAGCAAATGCATGTGACTTTCATATTCCTAAAATCTATGAAATATATAAACATGAAATCCAGCTGTATTGTCAAAGGTGGGTAATGTTCAGTTACTCAAGTACATTTACTTTTACAGAATCCTTTTACTGAAAAAATCTTCCACAGAGTAACAGTATATAGTACTCTTTTTTGACTGCAGGTTTTTGGTTTCTCTTTCCACCATGAGTAAGTCTACAAGTGACTTTTTATGTTGATAAATGAACTGGAGTCTTATTTGTGTCTACTGTTGTTTTGTATCTTATTTTTTATTCATGCCCTTATATATATTTTATTTACTTTATCATAGCTTTATATGGTCCATACCACAAAAGCAAGTTCATAGTTAGTGAATCCTGTCTGTGACAATGGCAATAAAACTTCTGATTCTAATAAACAATACATACATGTAAATCTGCTTTAAGTTTTTGATCTGTAAAAAAAAAAAAAAAAAAAAAAAAGAACAACTTGTGGAAATGAAAACTCTGGTACATATGGGGTATTGGGGCTTTTAGAAATGAGGTAGAGGGCAGTTAGTGCTTAAAGAGCTTAGAAGGGGGGAAAGTTTAAATTTGTGCTCTTACAGTTTGTACTCATACATACAACACATATTCGCACCTCTCGGTTCTTCTCTGTTTCAAAAGTGTGATCGGCTGACACTTTCCCTGATGACTCATAACAGAAGGCTACTCTTAGCCTTTGTGTGCTTTCACTTCTGACTACAAACTGTGGTCATCACATATTATTATGGTTTCCTACGTTTGTCTTATTTAACCTTTTAATGTGCTATACTATCACTATATTTAGATTTCCCCCAGATAGTTTGTAAGTCGACTGTTCCTTTAGTAGCCACTAGATGGCGACCTGTACAACCAAAAATGAAAGTAATTGATTAACATGTGGAAAATCATTAGCACGACCACGTGGCTCTAAAAAAAAAGTGCGATTGTTTCTCAGGCTATCGTCTAATAATCTACGAGTATCTTTGCATTTTTAGAATCTTTGACACCTGATACGTGTAATATACCGATTACAATGGTCGGTGTCTTTCATTTTATCGTAATAAAAGCAAAGGATTGTGGTTATTCACTTGTAGTGAGTGAAGCTGCGTGAAAGCTGACCATCCCAACGAACGAGATCTTTCAGGTGAAACACTGCTCGGTACAGTAAACCATAGATTGTGTACATCAAACACATATTTCGAAGCAAAAAATGCCAGAGGAAATTGAGACATTTTAGGGAGAAATTCCAGCAAATTTTGACTTAACCAACTAGGCCTTATAGTTACCAGAGGTTTTGTGGACAACGGTCAAAAGAATACAGTAAATTTAGTTTGTGGCCATACCTGCTTGTCAAAGCCTGATCCCGTCAGATCTCAGAAGCTAAGCAAGGCTGGGCCTGGTTAGTACTTGAATGGAAGACCACAGGGAAAATCAGATGCTACAGTGGGGCTCCAGAGGCAAAAAACTTGTGTCCATTGTGTCCATAAGCAAGGTACTTCACCCACATTGCCTAGTATGAAAGTTGGAGTGAGCATAAGTGATGGTGGTGGTCAGAAGGGCTGATGGCGCAGATTGGCAGCCTTGCTTCTGTCAGTCTGTCCCAGGGCAGATGCGGCTATTATAGTAGTTTGCCACCACTGAGTTGGAGTGAATGAACAATGAACTGTAAAGCACTTTAGGCATCTTGAAAGGCACGATATAAATGCAATGATTGATTGATTAATTGTCTTTTCACGTTTAGAATCACATTATTTTGTCTTATAGATATTAGCACACTTAAAACTTGAAAAAAAAAAATAGAAAGTTGAAAAACTTGAAAGTGACAGTACTCATTATCACTTTTGCTCTGACGACATTCCTGCTGTCCATATTTGGTTGGACAGTTTTGGCAGATTCCTTCCTCTTTCTGCTCCTGTCTTGATGCAACAAGTTTCTTGGTCTTTCCTGTTCAATACTGCTGACCTAAGAATAAATTTAGCACATGGTGTCAATTACAATATATGAATACCCATTTTTTATTTTTAATCTGTCTACAACCTGTTAAATACAGAACCTTATTAAAACTCCAGGCATGCAATGGAAAACTGTCACGATTAAAACAATTGAAGACATGTAAGCTTAGTATTTAGGGTTTTTTTTCTCTCTTGGAATAAGAAGCCCACTGACATTTTTCCTGTCAATTCCCCAATATTGTAAGACACAGATTCTCACACATAGCTGCTCAAACAACAATGAATAACAATGAAAACAATTAAAATAGATACCTGTACATATTTGGATGGAAGATGGATGCTACTATGTACAGTAACTCGTTTTATTGTTCCATTTAATTGGTAGACACACCTATTAACTCTGTATTATCAAAACTGACTCTTGTGAGTTTTAAGTCATATTATAATGTTGCTACCTCCTCAAAAACATACCTGGAGTTGTGTCTTCTTTTATTCACATATGTCTGAGTAACCCTTTACTATTGTCTGTCTCCAAAACTCAAAATGCTCTGTTCCGCCTTGTAATGTCATGAAGCGTGAATTTTCAAGTTAACAGCTACTTTTACCTTTTGTTCAGTAGAGATTGAAAATTCCAGGGCTGAAATTATCCAGATGATTCTAGTGAAGGTGTTAGGAGTTTAAAAACTAGTACTTTCTCTTTGAAAGAAGAAGCCTAAATGCAGGGTTTGTGTGTTAAACATGTGAATGAAACAAAACACAAGTCCAGGTATGTTTGTGATGGGGAAAACACATTCTAAGAGATCATAATATAGCGTAATATGGGCCTTTTAAGATAATTTATTCACAAGCTCATTTATAACTCTCTAAGGCCTAACCACTGTTCCCACATGTAGTATTGTTAATAAATATGTATAGAAGGTGTGGGATAACGCTCTCTGTGAAGTTTTCACAATTATGTTCTTTTTGGAGATGGAATACATTTAGATTTTCTAAGAGTCATCGCTGCTTTTGGCTAAACATTTTTTTATTTTTTTCATTTTTCATTTTGTGTTTGGGCTGTATAAATAGGGCTGTATAAAGATGGATACTACAATAGGGCTGCATCCGGTAGGCCTGTCACGATTTTTACTGTATCAGTGCTCAAGATATGAAAGCTGGAACAATATACTGTATTTTTTAGAAAAAACGTTCCCAATACGATAAGTTTTAAACCGTTAAACATTGAATTAATGAATGTACTCATCAGAATGCACTGGTACAGTTGACCACACAAATCCGGTATCTGATGGGGCAGTAGTTTCTGATTAAAATGATTTCTTGAATTTGTAAGGAAATAACTGTTGCATCACTCTGCTCAGGAATTGTCTTTTGCAATAATTTGGAAGACACCGTAAGATTTTCCCGGTTCCTCTTTTTGTGGTATAAATGTAGACCATTTGAACAAGGGAGGCCAGTACTTTCTCCTGCCACAGCACCCAAACGAACACCAGAGACAGCCCTTACAAACCAAGCAATGGACATGTGCAGCAGAAAACTTCAACTCTTTGCCATTTTCGCTGGAGTCCTGACGATCATCACAATATCGTCCGGTAAGTGAAATTTGATACTACTTCATCTATTCTAGTTTTGGACATTTTAAGTAATATTTTCCATCTCACCTTTATAGCACAAAAGATAACCAGCTGCTGCACAGAGGCCAGCATTGCCGATGTGACTGCTCCTATCGTCGGTTACAGGTTCCAGAGGAAGAACTCTCCATGTGTCCGTGCTGTGATGTAAGGACCAAACTTTACCTATTGTTTAAAGGGAAATATATCTGACAAAATGTATCTCAGAAACACTTCAATAGCAATGTTTTCCTTGTTCAGATTTGAGACCACAGAAGGTGAGATCTGCAGCCACTGGAAACAGAGCTGGGTGATTAGCAAGATTAAAGAGCTAGAGTAAGTATATAGACAAGGCTAATATGTATGTTGTATGCATGTATTTCAAATACTGACCTGTGCTTATCTCTGTACAGTGAGCTCCGCAAAGCCAAGAAGAACTCTACTGTAACAGCAAGCCCATAGAAGAAAAAACACTTTTGTCTATTTTTTAAAAAGATGGCTTAACTTAATTATTTAAAAGTGAATAATGTTAAATATTTATTATTTATTAAGTTGTATTTATTCAAATTACCACTGTCTTTCTTTTGCTTGTAAATAAATACACTTACATTTTATTAAATATGTTTTTGTCAAATTTAATTGAAACTGATGTCATAGATTTATAGCTGAGCAATCTTGCCATCTAGTGGAGGCCAAAAGGAGTGCACTTTAGCAGAAACAATGGTTTCAGTTCAGTGTACAACAGGAAACTTTAGATGAACTTGTCAAACCAAAGCCTCAAAGCTGCTTGAATTATAGAAAGATTCTGTGATGTTTTGGGAGCTTTCGGTGGTACTGAAAGAACTTCTGCTGCTGCGAGCAACCGGGCTCTCTTTAATATCTTTAGTAGCCAACTTCTTAAGACGTTCACTGTGAAGAGAGGGAAATAAATAAATAATATATATATATATATATATATATATATATATATATATATATATATATATATATATATATATATATATATATATTACTTGATACATTACCTTAGCATGTTCAAAATTCTTCGCACCCACGCATCTCTTATGTCTGCACATATCTTGTTCTTTTTCACTGTTTCAAAACTAAACAACAACAATAAATTAGATAATAATGATACCTGACATTTTAAGACAATAAAACAGCATTATGTTGGGCACACAATGATAATAAAACATATATTCTATACGTAGGTTATTTGGTTATTTAATAATATATTAAATTGTAAGCATTTTATTAGTTTATATCGTTAACATAAACTTTATGTGAGTAAGTATCTTCTTACATGATGGCATCAAGGTCACAGTTCTCCTGTGCGCTCTGTGTCTTCACCCCTATGATCCGGTGAAAAGGGACAGGGCTCCGGGTGTAGCTCATACAACATCCTTGAGCACCAGGTACAGAGACTGCAGCACACAAGTACATGCACATGTAATGATCTTTAGATATCCATGTTATACTAACATTTCAGATCAAAAAAGAGCACAGGACAAGTTCAAGAACAGCAGCAGTAGCAAAATAAAAAGGCCAAAAATGTATCAATCATATTCAAGATAAATGAGCATTTCAAAAGTATTTAAAAAAACAAACAAACTAAGAAACACAGAAACACATGTAATGGAAATATCTAATACTTTAAATAATAAAAACTAAGGCTACACAACTGTTATTACTAATATACAGTTAAGTGACTATGAGTATGGCTATGTACCATCTACGTACATCATTGACCACAATAAATACTTATTGTCCACACTATTGATTCCTTATTATAATATTACAGTATATAATATTAGATATGATGCCTGGAGGGAAATCTCACCTTTTTCTCGGGCTGAGTCAGTCTGTGTCAGGCAGAGGAGAATGGTCGTCGCGGTGATGATACTCATGGGAGACATGTTTAAATCAAAGAGAACTATCACAGACGTGCTCTGTATTTATACTGTTCGCCGCTCCACGGGTTTTTCACGGTGGGTCCTAAATTGAGGACAGGAAGCCTGATATTACATCATGGAAGTGATGTACTCATTTCGCTCATAAAGTTATCCTAAATGATTATTACACTATGTACGGTGCATTTTCAATGTAACCTTTGGGAGGTTTTGGCAGAAATTAATTCTTGACTTTTCATTTTCTTAAACACATCTATAGTTGGCCATAGAAGACAGATTTTAGTTGTAGATTAATACATTATTTGTGTGATGATATACATTGAATAAACTATTATCAATAGAATAAGAAAAGAGGCGGGAAAAATAAATAAACTTAAGTATAGCCCTCGTCCTTTCTTATTCTGTTGTCCCAAAACTTCAAAATATAGCTTGACGCCTTTGTCTTATCATTTTTATCTTATCAGCAGTTCTGATATTGTGGTGAAAGCGATGAGGTGAGATAGGTTTCACACCTCACACCCCGGTGGTGGTTTGGCCTATTTAGTCTGCAGAAAGCTGACGGCTCCAGATGTAGCTGACCTAGAAAGGCATTGCCTACTGTACATTCTGAAAACCTGTGCACCATCTGCAAATAAATACAGGGGTTTAGTACCTAGATCATTACACTTTAATACATATTAGAAAGTACAAAAGAACAACAACAACACAGACTGCTTTAAATATGATCAAATCAAACACATGCTGTAACATGTGAGATACAGATACTCTAGGCCAAATAAAAGTGGTAGAGTGTGTTATTCTGACTCTTTAGTTTTTGCCTGGTACTGGGAGTGTGGGTGTGTACTTCTTAGCAAAATATTTTTTCCTATGTTTAAACCTTTGCCGCCGTATAAATGGAAATTCTCATATATAAATACCTTGATTCACATGTTAAAGCAAAGCTTGAGAACTGCACCGCAGCTCTGTATTTATGTTATATATATTTATAATTTAATATGTTAAATAAATAAATATAAATATAAATAAATATAATTCACAATATGTATTATACAAGATAAACATCCCCAAATACAGTTCTTTTGATATGTTTTATTACTGGATAAAGTAAAAATGAGAGTGATATTTAATTTTAATAAAATAAAAAAAGAAAAGTTGGTTAACCTCACCTAATCAGATTGAGTGAAAACCACCAGCAGAGTTTTTTACATAGACATTGGCTTCTTCCCACAAGACTTTCATATGTAATATCACTCTCAATTTGAATCATCTAATGTGGGTCCTCCTCGAATCCTCCTCTCCTCCCACACATCTTAATTTAGCACCACACCATCTGATGTCCTGTCATCAAAGCCTGCTACCAGCCTTAACGCTAGCAGCCAGACGGGGGCGATGTTAGAACAGGCCGCTCTCCTCTGGGATATTGAGCTGGACATAACAAAGAATGCTGATTAAACGGGTTTAAGGCCTCAGTGTCCATATAAATCCAAAGTGAAGATACTTTGTGACAACTCAGATTAACCAGAGTGAATTAGAGCATTTAGCAGTGAAGCAATTGTCACAACACATCTCCTTCATGAACATAAGGACTGTGAAATCTTGCATGGCTGTGTGTCAACAATACATAGTTGGATCTGCCAAAAATACATTTGCAAAAACATAAATGCTGTTACCTATTGTGAGAACTATTTCACGAATAATATCATGTTTGCTGTAAGATAAGGGCTGTTGTTTTATTCATTTCGCGCTCTCAATGGTCAATATAAACAAAAGTCACAAACAAACTAACAAAGATTATTCAGTTGAAGCTGTGGATGTCTTATTGAACACCGATCTCTTGCTATTTTTACTACTTATTTTGAATTTATTATTACCATTTATATTTAGAGTCTTTGTTATTATGTTTTGCTGTGAGCTACTGTGTCCAAATAATTTCCCTAGTGGATCATTAAAGTTTGTCTAAGTTTAAGATGGAGAGTGTAAGGTTCTAAAAGTTGTGATAAACCATTAAACAATTTTATAGTATTAGCGTTTAGCATACATATATTTTTAGTTTGCAGATACTGACTCGATGCATGTTTATTATTAGAAAAAACTCTACTAAGCAAATCTCAAATCACAAATTCACATCAAACTCTCGTTAGGTTTTATATCTCTTGTGTTTCTCGTCTACCCACATCTATTGTGTGACCTGCAGCTGCTGATAAAACAAAGGTAAAGCGATTAACAAGACAATAGTGTGGTGAGACGCCTAATTCCCACTAATCCTGAGGAAATCGCATGGCCTCATCACTGACATGCTGTTTGGTGTGAGCCTGGTAATGTTACACAATACACTTTTCCTCAGAGTCGGATGAAAGCTTTAATAGACTGCTCTTGTGTTTGAGAGTGATATCAAATTTTAGTGTTATCGTTAGAAACTAAACAGCACAATGTGGTTATTTGCAATTATTGACATCACTATCAAACAGCAGTGAATTTCCTTCAGTTTCTTTCATTCAAATTGTCAGGTACCTTTCCATTCTTCAAATATGGGACCAGCTTCATGAAAACTCTCAGAATAAAAAAGTTAAATTATTGTAGCACAAAGAGAGTACTGAGGAAAAGTGTTTCACATTCAGGTTTATGTTTTTAGAGTGTTAGAGTTATTATTTTTTTAGTTTCTATTATAAATAAACCAAATCATCTTGACAAGCCTTTTTGAGATCTAATGAAAATCCATGCCCTATGCTGGTACTGTTTTTGGTCTCTTGCACTTAAATTTACTCACTTTTATTTTGGGTAGACCTAAATACTCAAGATTTTTGTAATGTAAATTTTACAGTAGAAATATAATTTAGTAAAACTTAATAAAAATAACTCTTTGATAATTTTTTTTTTTACTTTTGTTGCGATTGGCGCTGTCATTTGGTCCTTTTGTGTGATGCATTGATGTAGTGCCTTGTTTATGCCACAAAATAACCAAGCATGATGAGATGACTGAAAGCAGTTTTTCAGTGTTCTTCTTTATTTTTCACACTATGCTCAGTAAGAATTTAGAGTACAAAAGTGGAGCTATTAAAAATCCCCTTAAAATATTTTGTTCCAGCATTAAGCCTACCACAGCACTTTTCCAAGGCTCTAGCTTAACCATTACACCTTGTCTTTTTTTTTTTTTTTTTTTTTTGCTTCTTCTTGCACCTGTTTCAGAGCGTGGAGATAAATGTTTGTCCCTGTTTCCTTGTTGTAGCAGTTTGCAAAATGTAGTGCCATTTGCATGAGGGTGGGAGTGAGGCAGACCCTTCCTCCTCCGGGCCCCCCTGTTTCCACTGTGTTTTAGACTCTCCTTTTGGGGGGTTGAAGGCAAAGGGAGGGGGTCAGTATTGAGTTGTCCACCCACTCGAGGCACCCCCTGGTCACCTGCGTGGGTGTGGACCAAACAAAAAAAGGATAGGAAACACACCACAAGGAAAAGGGAGCAAAGATTTCTACCTGTTTATGCGCTAAAATATTGACCAGCATAGATTTTGCAAAGACACATGGATGGGCGAAGATGTGAGACGATTTCATTGAGAAAAAATAAATTACATGCAGTACTGAACATGTATTTTACTTCTATTATAGAGTACCCTTGTGATTTATATGCATGGTAACACAATGGAAAGACGCACATAAGCAAGAACAAAACCACTTCCTAACCCCAAATGTCAAGCGTGGCAAAAAAAGCTTTAAATGAGTCGAAACTTCCCCGGCTCTACGGAAAAGTGCCTCCATAAAAGCCATCCACAACAAAGGCAGCAATGGAGGCTGGTGAAACGCAACCACTCTCAAAAAACACTTGGCAGTGGAGTGATCTTAAAAAATAGTGTAGTTTATCATAATTAGCACCGTTCCAGACTGTCAGACCTGTAAGGGAAGCCAAACAATGCATGGCGCTTTACTTTATAGGAGACTTACGGCTAATGGCTTGATGTATAGTTATAAGAGCCCAGTAGGTTTGGTTCCTCACTTGCGCTCCTCCTACATCCCATCTGCCCTGTGTCCAGAGTGTGGGTGACTGCTGAACTAACTCATGGGGGGGAGGTACGAAATGATTACAGAAAATACTAACAAAACTTGTGATGTAACACTTCAACATCTTCAGACTCGTTCCATGCTAAACATGAAAAGAGCAAAATATAGAATTGGACCTCAGCGACTTTTGGGAGTGCCCAGAGGTAGTGGAGTCTGGCAGCACTAACTGGATAGAGTCAGCCAATAGAGGTGAGGAAAACAGCGAGGAAAAAGATAGAAAGCGGAGTATTTTTAGGGTGGTCTGTTATCTGCGGTGATGAGGGCATGCGTGTCACTGCAGGGTCAACAGCGCTGAAGGGAAAAATTCTACAAAGCTCAGCGGTGAGAGTTGGTGAGCAGGAAGAGCTGTACAGTGCATGGCCTACGCTGCACAAAGCTAAACAGTGACTAACCACATGCACAGGAAGACACTTCACTTTCTCATAAGCAAACGTCATAGAAATCATACACAACCAGCCTGATTGAATAATGTGAAAAGGTCATTTTAGATCAATAAAATCATCCCTCATCTGTGAGTTTTGCGAACGATAGCAATTTTGGTAAAGGTGGAGAATAGGCATGAACATTAATCTTGGTTTGACACATCAGCTTGACTGACCTAGTGTAGGTGTACGCCTTACCTCAAGCCAGTTTTATTTTGTGCACCAAATATAAGCACCATAATTGTCAAAAATATACATAGAAATATCTAAATATTGTACAACATCCATTTAAAAAATAAAAATAAAAAAAATAATAATATGGAAATTAGGGGAAAAAAAAATAGAGGACATCAAAGCCCACACTCATGGACAATTTCCAAATCAATATAGTGCTTAGACGTAGAAACAAAGTGGGAGTTTCTTGTTCCTTATTTTGTATTATATATTATATATAAATAGAAAACTGAAGGCCATTAAAATCCTGTTCATTATTGCTTCTTGGACTACACTGTGGACACACGTGCCTTTGGATGTTTTGCTAACTCAAGAAAATCCTCTTTACTGTACACCTTTTCTGTCTCTCTTTTCTCTAGCTGC